CCCCCTTCCTGCTGCACTGCTGTGGCCTTTGTTATACATCAGTGGGTGGGGGGAGGGGCAGCTGGCTTTCTGAACCCACCCTCCCATCCTTGGCCTATTGGACGGCTCCTGTACCACTCACTGGGGCCTTTGCTGGCCACTCAAAGCCCACCCAGGGCTTTAGGCAGAGGGGCCCTTGATGTGAGGCTTTGGGGGCCCTCCTGGGTAGTATCCACTGCTTGCTCTCCCAGGGTACAGCTTCCTGTCCTGACTGCAGCGCTTCAGGGGCCCACCTCAAAGACCCTGAGGGGCTGTGGATAAGGGCGGGGGCAGCTCTCAGGGAAGGACACATCTGGCCAGCCCCCAGCTCACAGCAGCCCTTTACAGAGGACCCTCTGGCTCAGCTGCCACATGGGCTCCCAGGGCCGTTGCAGGCCCAGAGAGCTCGCATGGAGCAAGGACACCACATGGAGCCCCACACTGAGCTTGCACATTAGTGGGGCCTGGGACAGATGGTGTCAGTTAGGCAGCATGGCCCGGGGCCACCTGGGTGGGGCTGTTTGAAACGGGGGTGACACTGACGTCTGAGCAGAGCAGAGGGGAACGAGGAGCAGGCGTGCAGGTAGCTCCTTTCAGGAGGACCTGCAGGGCCAGGGCCCCAGGCTTCCAGCGCCTCCTGCAGGGGTGGGAGGGGGAAGGTCTCAGAGTGCAGGGCCAGCAGTGGGGCCAGAGGTCCTTCAGGTCCTTCAGGCCCTAAGCTGCAGGGCAGGTCCTGCGGCTCAGGAGGTGGGACCCCCACCTCTGGCTCTGCGCAGAGGTCCATCAGAGGCCTCCAGGGGAAGGAGCCTCAGCACTGGAAGAGCTCAGAGGGTCCTGCCCAGCAGCAGGCAGATGGAAAGGAGGAGCTGCAGCCAGGGAGGGGGCGGAGTGGGAGCAGGGGCTGGAGCTGGATTGTAAGGTTCCAAGGGCTGCAGGGGCACGTGGGGCGGGGCGGGGGTACAGGGTTCTGACTGCAGGGGTGCGTGGGGCGGGGGTACAGGGTTCTGACTGCAGAGGTGCGTGTGGGGGTGTGGGTACAGGGTTCTGACTGCAGGGGTGCGT